AGGAGATACTCCAGAAATAACACAAGCTTCTATGAACACATGAAGTTCTTATGTTCGGCAATCAAAATGTTCGACGGAGTGCCTGTAAAAAGGCACCAAGAACATCAGCCTTTGCCCCTGAAGAACGTCAAGGCTAACTTGCTATTATTATTATTGTTATTATTATTATTATTGAAGGCGAGCCCACAATTCCTCATACGTCGAGGCTAGCTCATGGATATCTTACTATTGAAGGCGAGCCCTAGCTTACGGATTTTATTATTATTGAACGTGAGACCGTAAGTCCTTGCACATCGAGGCTAGCTTGTTGATTTTTTATTATCAGAGGCAACATATTGAATTCCTCGTTCCTTGAAAAAGGAAGAGACAACATCTTGAAGTATTTGTCTATGAAAAAGGAGCGTGTTTATTCCTCTATTCGTGAGATTCCTTATCTTCATGAGAGCTCGTCCAATTTATTCCTCGTCTCCTCGAGAGGATCATTCCATTTATCCTCATCTTCACGGGATGATAGTTCCATTTATTCCGTGTCTTCACGAGAGGATTATTCCTCATCTTCCCAATAGGATTGTTCTTTTTATTCCTCGTCTTCACGTGAGGATCATCCCGTTTGTTCCTCGTCTCCATGAGAGGTCATTTCATTTATTTCCTCGTCTTCCCGAGAGGATTTTTCCATTTATTTCTCATTTTCATGCGAGATTTGTTCCATTTAAGCCTCGCATCGCAAGATGATTTTGATTCCTCGCTTCACTAGATCTTTGCCTTGCGAGATGATTGTTATTTATGTCATATATTTCTACATTTTACAAGTCCAATGCCTAACATAAATGCTAGACTTGGACTTGGGGAGATATTTTGATAATCATATCCATTGTTACTATTAGCTTGTTATTATTACACTATTTACATTATCGTTTTGTTATCGACAATATGTTATTTGCTTCGCACTAGGAATATTGTTATTCTAAACTATGCTACCATATTATCGGTGAAGTTTGATCTTATCATAATATTACTATATCGTCATGAGTAAATTATTTTGTATGTACGCAGTTGATTTTGTACATATTATGGAGGATATGCTTCTGAAATTTTGGTAAATCGGTGTGATAGCTATCTTTCAAGGCTAATCTTCAAAGCCTCGCCACTTTGAGGGTAGTTCGCATGCCCTCAGCATTACATCTTTCGAGGCTCATTATTAAAGCTCGTTTCTTTGAGGCTGGTTCGTAAGCCCTCAGCATG